GGCTGGGCGGCGACGATTGGCTGGGCGGCGGCTTCCGGCGGCGAGGTTGGCCGGGAAAGACGAAGAAGAAAGAAGAAGAAGGAGAAGAAGAAGGAAGAAGAAGAAGGAAGAAGAAGAAGGAGAAGGAAGAAGAAAAAGGAACGGACGAAGAAGGATAAGGTTTGAGTGGTTTAGGTTTATTTAATGGTCCCATTCCAAAAAGGATTAGGCTTCGGACCCAAAATACCTGATTAAATGGTCATAACTTGAGTTCCATAACTCCGATTCGCGAACCGTCTGAACCGACGCGATCACAAAAATATTTCCTACAAGATGACATAAAAGTTGGGCTTAAAATCCAAATTATAATTTTTACCCCTTATTGGGCCCAATTCGTAATCAATTGCTCTAACAATTTAATTAATTCTTTTGGGCCAGATTTCGGGGCGTTACATGTCATTTTATAGTTACAGCATTCTGCCTAGTAGGCACTGTAACACCCTCTGCATCATTTGCTTCTGCGTGTGCTTGTGATAGAGAAGTGTTATAGCACACTGTCTGTCATCTGTTACTGTGACAGTGATGCAGCATCTTCTCTGCAGCATAGTAGACTGATTTGTTTGCATAGCTCTTAATTGGCGATTTCCGCTACGCCCCCACGAACTTTCACTACCCAACCCATACCACTATCCAGCCCAATATTAAAATATTGAATATCCAACCCAATTCTAAATTAAGTCTCATTATCTAAATTAAGTTTCCCTTCTTCGAAGGAATCAGCCTCTTCAGTCGGCATTTGGGAAGTCTCTCACAGTTCGCTGAATTGAATTAGCTCCATCCGATCAATCACGCTTCCCATGTTCGTTGCCTTCTTCATCCCCTCTGCATGGCGAAGACTGGCGACTCACAATATCCAAAGGTACGTTCCCTAATTGGTTTGTTCCATCCAGTTTCCTTATTTTGCTTTTATTTGTGATTTTTTCATTTTTTTCTATTAAAAAATTAAATTAAAATAGGGTAGAAAATGTTCAGGCGAGAAAAGAGACAACTTCGCCAGAAAATCGTCACCAGAAAACAAGGTTTGAGAATCCTTTTAAAGTTTTAAGCATCCATGAACTTTTTTGGTTATATAGTAAAATGATTGTTGAAATACCATCTTTATGACATCTCCAACCCGTTAACCCGATTAGTTCAGGATTAGACATCTCCAACCCGTTAACCCGGTTAGTTCAGGATATGCGAGTTGGTGGTGTTACAATATTACTCCTCAAAATCCTAATTTGCTCCCCTAAATAATTATTGACTATTATGTCATAGACTTCTAAGTGCGATGGACATGCGACCAAATATCTCCGTCGTAAAAAATTGGTCACAAATTAAAAAAGTTGCATATATATACGATGAAAAGTCTTCACATCTAAAACGTGAATATGAGTGGCGCGAATAGTTGTTGTCGCAAATGTGCGATGACATTATTGTCACATATTCGATTGCCTCTCATAAGTCTTGTCCATGCCTTAGTCCTAGTGTGCCTAATCATGTTGATTCTTCAACATAAGTATGTTCATATACAAAAAAAGCTTGTTCTCAGAGTTGGGGGTGTTGCCTCTCGTAAGAGTCTATGCCGTATCTCAATCACAGTGTGACTGGTCATCCTCTCAGACCAACTAATGATCTTTGCGAAGACCTGTGTTTTTGATAAATTGACCCTGAATAAAAGAAGAATGCGGTTAAAGTAGGTAGAACCTTATAACAATTTTAGTTGTTCCTCTCATTCTCCCCTTATTTCATATGACACATCACTTTCTTATTTAATATTCTCCCATCACCTTAGTGTTTTCCTCTCATCTTCCTCTCTCATTTTTTAGATTGCGGGTCTTTTGTACTATAATTTTTTATCTATATAAATTTTAAAATTAATCAAATTGATTCATTAAAAAAATTAGATTTATACATTTAATTTTAATTAGAAAATAAATGTCATAAACTTAATTTTATAAAACTTGACTAATAAAAAGTCCCAAGTATCACCCCATCTTGACTACAAGTGAAGATGTATATACCCCAAATCATCAACCTACTACAATTATTTTTTAATACATAATTTTTTTTGTTTTTATTGATTTTCCAAAAATACCATTGATGTGATGGGTTAAGCAGGATGTGATAGGTAAATTATTAGTAAAAAGATATAATGTGATTGTTAGATTAAGAATTAGTAAGGGTAAAAGTAATTTTTTAATAAAAAAGAAAAGTATTTTGTGGGACAATAAAAAAGGAAAGGGGAGAGGAGTTTTTGGAGTGGTTTGGTGAAATAGAAAAAATGAGAGAGGAATGGTTTTGAAGTAAAAAACTATGCAAGAACTCCATAAGTATGTGATTGTATACTGCGAGAAAAAATGGAGTACAAAACAAATACCATACTGGTGGGTATATAGTTTTAAAGCAACCAACTCAATTCAACACATCGAGTAAGCCACCCAAATAGAAACATGAAAGTGCAAATTGATGGGAGGCCGGTCATTGTCCATTCCATCCGTCCAACAGAAACCTGAAAGAGCTTAGCTCTTTCAGGTTACTTGCTTGACATGAATTGGTTGCTAGCTAAGCTAGCTCTTTTAGGTTTCTGTTGGATGAATGGATGGAATGGACGACGACCGACCTCCCATCAATTTGCACGTTCATGTTTCTATTTAGCTGGTTTACTCAATCTGTTGAATTGAATTGGTTGATTTAAAACTATATACCCACCAGTATGGTATTTGTTTTGTACTCCATTTTTACTTGCAGTATACAATCACATACTTCTTGTACAGTTTTTTACTTCAAAACCATTCCTCTCTCATTTTTTCTATTTCACCAAACCAAACTCCTTTCTCCTTTCCTTTTTTATTGTCTCACAATCACATTATACTTTTTTATTAACAATTTACTTATCACATCAATGATATTTTTGAGATAATTGTTAAATACATAATTTATTTTAAATTTCTACACCAAGTTTCAAATAAATTAAACAAAAAAAACCGTTAATCAAACCTCAAAAAAAGAGAAAAAAAACTTTGGTTTATAGAGTATTTATGGTCCAAAATTAAGAATCAAAGGCAGACAAATTTCCCTGTTGAACGACACATGTCAACTGATTTGTATACAAAGCAAAGAATCAGTCATCCGAATCGTTTTCCACCAATCGCTTTAAAGACCCAATGATCAAGAATCAAGCATTACCAATTACCAACTGTATTTTACCAGTTAGCCCCGTGCCAACATTTTGAAGGCAGAAAATTTAAATAAAAAAAAAGAAAAGAAATTTTGGGAACGAAAAAGAAAGTTACAGGAATACCCTTCGTGTGAATTTTACCACAAGGATTGGCCATATTTTATACTAAGTATTTACCCCTCTCAATTAACCAATTGGACTTGTGCAAGGCTCCCTCCCACAACACTCAGAAATGGGGTCATTTTTTCAACTTATAACGACAAATGAATTCCCTCAGTTTGAGAGCAAAGGCCAATTTGCCATTGCAAGAAGAATGCTTTTGTAAAATCTGACCCAATTCAGTTAGGGGTCTAAACGGAAATGCTGTGAGGGTCTATTGTTTGTCTTTGGTGTCAAAAATGGTGTCACAAGTAGAGTTCCCCTAGTATTGCCCTAGATGTTTTCCTATTGCGCGCTGGGAGAGCACTGTTGCAGACACCCCACCCCACCGGACCCACCCCCACCCCACGGCTCTCTCTCTCCCACCTCCAATTTTCCCTTGGTGAAAAATACTTGCAAGAGGAATTTGATCGGAGGGTTCGTTCAGTTCTTTTCGAGCTGAGGATTGGCCAGCCATCCAGCATGTACGGAACGAGTTAATAGTAGATGGCGTGATCGGTTTTCTCCAACTCATTCTAACCTTTGGAGAGCGGCTAGGTTAGGGGGGCAGATGGTGTGACCGGTTTTCCCCGAATCATTTTCACACTTGGGAGGGTTTTATGATTCAGAGAAAATATTTTATCAGGTGCAAGAAATTGTGGTTTGTTTATGGTTTAATTGCAAAGTCATGTTCGTTAGCTCTCCGATAAAGCAAAGCTGATGCCTCCACCCTGCAGTAGTTATATTTATTTAAATTGAAACCACGAACGAAATGTGGTTAGATGGACCAATGAAAAGATTTATTGATCTGCAAGCAGAAAAGGAGCACTTACCACCCAGGATGCACCACAAATCGCCCGGTAGCAAAAGCCCAGTTTACCTATACATGGGAGCATTATAATCAGAAACATTTTCTAAAAAATCAGCACATCTGGGCCCTTGGATCTTGTTGTGTGAATGGAAGAGTTTATACCTTGTCAGTACCAGGAGAATTGGCGACTACATGGGTCACCTTCTCATCAATTTGATTTGTACACACGGCACCAAACTGTTCAGCGGTTTGCCACAGTGGATGCAAGTGAGGGTTAGCTTCTCCAACAGGGAAAACCCTGCTGAAGACAATGCGGCATCCAGAAAGTATTCTCCGTTGTTCTGTGGCTAAAATGTTCCTAACATCGGCTTCGTCCAAGGTTGGATGCTCAAAAAACATCTGATGGATTTTCTCAATGACCTAATTTCTCATGCAAGGGAAAAGGCCCAATAATATGAATGAAACTATGAATGCGTACAGCTGCCATACAGATTATTAATAAACGTTTTATAATCTCACACTCACCGCCAAAGAAGATGCCAAAGTCCCAGCTTCAGGCCTCTCATCGTGATCAATCTCAAGAAGAGAGGGACCCGGTAGGCCAAACTGGCGTCTACTGCAAGGGAAATAAATATACCTACATAATAAAAAAAACAGGTTACATGCTTATATTGTAGTAACTAACTCTGAATAATATAAAGATCATTTCAGGTGCATGACATTTAATGCATATTCACCTTTCCACAACAATCAGATTTAGTTTGTTATGAGGCCAAACTCTCACAGAATCATCGATAATCACAACAGATGACTCCATGCCCAAAACACCCTCCAGGTCCTTGCTCTTAGGAACCTTTTCATCACCATCACATAGATCTGCATCATCACCTCTGGATACAACCCTTCCAGCAAACATATCACCTTTTGGATCAAGTATTTTTGCCATCTCGGTTGCATAAAGTTTGTTGCCCATTGTGTAAAGATGTAGCTCAAAAAGCTTACTAGCCTGATATGCACATAGAAAGAAAGAAATATAACAATGCAGTCCCTCCATAGATAAAAAAAATACAATAATAAATGCTAAACAGAATGTTACCTTTTCTAAAAAATTCCAGATCCCAGGTCGTAACTTAGTCCACATTGCCATATGAGGAAATCTAAATAGATGCCTCTGGGGCTTCTCCCGCTCCTGTTCTTCTTTCTTTCTCAAAATTTCATCATGTACTGGGTCTACTTCAATAAACTGAAAGCAATGAATAAAGGTCAATCATCAATGTGACATCAAATGATGATGACGACAACGACATAAAGATGAATCATGCTAAAAATTGGCAATTCAACAAAAGATCCAGATATGCTTCCATGCCTTAGCTGAATTGAGTAAAGTGTGATCTAGATCTAAGACAAGGGAGAGCTTCCTTTCCGCAAACATTTTCTTCTGTTCTGCTATCCTTCTTTCCCTTTCTCTCTGGATAGCAGCTTTCTGCTGTTCATCAAACCCTTCAAAGAGATGCTCAACATCTCCCCAACTGCTCTGAGGAGAATGGATTATAGAAGCCACTCCTGATGCTAGGGGTTGGCTTGACTCCAAAACGACCCCCTTTCCTTCCAATTTACCTTGATGAACACGGGTTGGTTGCAATGTAGAAGTTTGAGAGGCTAAAGATGAGGAGATAGATGGTTGAGAAACTGAGATAATGTCAGCTATATTTTTCAAGTTCTTAGTAAAAAGTTGAGATATATCCGGTGGTGCTGAATGATTGGGAAATGCCAACTTCTTATCCAACTGCTCGTCCTGGCTTTTGAGGCTTAATCCACCACCAGATATGTCCTGCGTGTTTGGTGCACTTGTACTGGTTTGGTAAAAGGACACATTCCCACCCTTTTGAATTGAGGGATCGTGAAGAATGCGTCGAGGGTCACGGGGTTTCATGCGGATTTTCCCAAGATCATCCTGCAACAATGACGAATAATGATTATAAAATACCTATGCTTTCAAACTGGAATTTCACTTCCAGCAGGTTTTACCTATAGTTACCTTTGGAGTCGACACCTGTGGAAGAGCCTGAAGTATTCCTCCCTGCCTAGGGTCAGTCACTGAAGATTTGGGAGGGGCTGTATTCATTGGTAGAAACCCTCCAGTACTACAATTCGAAGAGCTCACTGGTTGTGCTGTGATCTTGGAGGGCACAATAGACTTCAGTTGTTCCATTTTAATTCTATTCATCCACACGGATGGATTTACAGCGATATCATTTAGTAGAGATTGCAAGGTAGCTGCAATACTTGTAGTTGTTGCCGGTAAATTCTCAATAGCATTCATTGAGACACTTGGTGCAGTGGCATGAGTGGTGACAGCAGTCGTTTCTTGTTGCGATTTACTAACATCCTTCATCGACTTAGAGACAAGGTTACTATTAATAACTGGAAACCCATCCCCTCTGCCCCCAAACCAACCACCTGTCCCAGAATAAGATGGAATATCACTGACGATGACAGAGTCTGTCTGCTCACTTCTTTGCCTTTTCATTGCTGGACCACCAAAACCGGGTTCATTATCTGCCCTTTGCTTTCTTGAACCAGTAATTTCCTCGCAACCTGCAGGCCTATTTTCATTCTTTGACATAGGTACAGTGCATTGGTTCAACATTTTAGCCGGTTCATCATTATTTAATACCCGAAGTCTTGGATCTTTGATTTTAGCAGAACTCCTAGACACAGGAGCTGCTATTGAACAAATGGAAGGAGCGGTACTACTAACAGTGCTACATTCTTGCCCTCCATGCACTATGTTGGGGACAGAAGAAACAAGCTGTGTAGGAACAGATGCATTCAAACTATTGCAGCTTTTGGCAATCGAACTGGAAATTTCTTCGCCAATGTCAGCATCATCTTTGTCACCATCTTCAGATGGGGTTGGACTTGGTAGTCTATCGGTCATGAAAAATGAACTACGGCCAAATTTTTGTTGATAAGATGAAACAGCTTTAAGGGCGTCTGTTTCGTATGGATGCATTACAGAGTGATTAGTCTGAAAAGCTCTTCTTGGGAAAGGGAACTCAGGTTCTACTATATGTTTCCCTGATAATGCTTTATCAAAGGGAAGAGGGGGCTGAGTTTCTCGTGTAGGAGATGGAAGACTATCTGGATCATAATCCTTATGAAGGTCTATTAAAGGAAGTGATAACCCTCTAAGCTTGGTGAAAGCTACCCCTTGTCTGGAAGATTCAACCTTCCTGTTAGACTCATTCTGATCAACAACTTGTGATGACACAGATTCGAAATCCAGACTCTTTATCATTGTCGAATCCTGAATGACATCTGTAACAGACATATCTGAGGTGTTATTCCCATCTTCAGTTCTTGAAGAAACAGATGAAATATTTAGGGAAACAATCAGCTCTCCCACCTGTGAGATTAATCAGGGATCAGCAAAATGTTTCCACCCTGATAAAGAGTATTTAGCTTCAAAAAGACTTCATAAAGAACAAGGACATATTCAGAAGGTCACCTCATGCAATTGCTGCGTGGAGAATAGATGAGGGTTTTTGCTACTTGCACCAACCAAGATTCTGTAAATGAATTCATACAAATGAGAAGGATGAAACCCAATAAATTGAACTGTAATCTTTTGTTTTTGTGAGGAAAGTGTAAAAACCTGGATAGGGAATCTTTGTGTTTCTCTTTCTCTCTCTGTTTCATAGAGCACAGCACCTGCAAATACCAAGATTTAGCCACAACTTATAGTCAAAAGACTAACCAGACCCATCATTGCAATTAAGGGAATGATCTTTCCTTTTATAATTTAAGCTTAAAAATTATTCCTTTGGAAAAATTGCAGGAAAAAGCAACAGATTTAACTGATATTGGATGTCATACAGTGATAGCAGTCCGAGTGGCAGTCAAAAACAATTCAACCAAAGCATCTTTCTCTGGTAATGAATTTTCAGAAACAATTTCTTGCAAACTATCCAACAATCTTTGCAATTTGGAGCAGACTTCATCAAAGGCTCTACAGAACAAGTCAAACACCACTGTTAATAGTCACCACACCGTTTTCATTGTTTAGAGATCTTTCAATGAGTAATTCAGATTATTCATGCACAAACAAAGTGTACTGTGTCTACTTACTTCTCTGCATCTTCTACAGTAACACTCTGAAGTCCTTCCCTAATCAAATTAACCTTCTCCCCCACTCCAACAATGGCATTTTCCGCAGAAGTAACTTCCTTCAAATCCCCATTTGCAACAACCTCCACATCCAAATCGATCTCGCCTTCCTCCAACTCCCCGTCTTCCTGAACACCATCTTCGACATCAATCTCATCATTCTTACTCCCCTTAACCAAAGCATCATCCGTCTCAGCCTTCTTCATCACGAAAATATCGTCTAAAGGCTTGTTTTGAACAGCCTGAGACCAAGCTAAATTATACAAACCCCTGGCGTAATCCCTCGAGATGGGATAGTTATTATACAGATCTTTCATCGTCCAAACACGAGCAGGTTTTGGATTCTGGTTCTGGTCAATCCCAACATTGGCATTCCGATTCACCTTCCCGGTTACAGTTGAAGTATGAGTAGCAGAAGAAGTGGGAACCGAAGGGTCTCGCTGCTTATTGAAAGCCTCCTCAGAGATCTCTTCAACAGAGGCTGAGTCCGAGATCTCACCTTCCTCTACGTCTCCTCCAATGGCGGCCGTTTCACATTCCTCCACCATTTCAAAATCTGTTTCCTTGATGCAAGAGGATTCTATTGAATGATCGATCGTCGCTTAATTTGTGAGCATCGTCAGATCTGATGAGATCGACCTCGCACTGCGATCGCTGTTTCGTCTTCACCAGCGATTTTTTTGGGTTTGTTCGTCTATCCTATTGAGAGTTCGCGTCCCTTAATTCTAGGGTTTTGTTGCTTATTGTGGATTTTGATGGTTGCTCCCTTTGGTTTCGATTCATATGTTGAAGATGAAGTGTTCTCTTTACCTTCTTTTCCTTGAGATGATTGAGGAGGTACTAGGTAGTTTTAGGGAGTGCATTCAATAGAGACTATTTTGGATTTTTTGTATTGTAAAAAGTATGGATATTCAATAAGTATTTAACAAATCACCATATAAGTAAAACTTAAAAAAATATATAAAAAATAATAGTTTCATATTTTATCTTAAAATAAAAGTTCTCATTGAGGTAATATGATACTGCATATAGATATTTTACAATGTTTTTTGGTAATATAAACGGTGATAAAAAAGTCCTTCAAAATCTAAATGTAATTAAGATTTTTAAAAAAATTAAAATTTAGGTGTATTCAATTAATACTTTAAAATATCAATCTAAATCTAATGATATTAAAATTTCAAAAAACTGCTCATGGGTACCTCCTATTTTGAGATAATAACTACTGAGTACCTCTAGTTTTTAAAATATACGAGCTACCTTAAAATATTCGAAAACTTATTACCAAGGAACTTTCCATCCATTCCTCTGTTAGGCTATGGGGTGCCATCCTCACCATCCCCACTTCCAACTCAGCGCTATATCATTCCATCTCATTTCATCTCCATTCAGGGGTGTTATCATCATTCCATCTTTATTCTTTTTATACTACTTTTATAAAATTTCATTTACATTTAATATTTTAATTTATATAATTAAATAAGCTAAAACATTAAATATTTAATACTACATAGCCTGGTCCATCGATGGGGTGTCGTCGATATCCGTTTGCATGATTCAAAATTCTTCCAACTCTAACTTTTGGGCCTCGATCACTAGTTTCCTTTACCCTACCTCCATAGCTTTCGCAGTGACCTTATCCTTAAGGCGAAGCTTCTCTGTCCAAAATTCATGAAACGTGTTAATGCGTGTAAGAAGCTCACCAAATCCCGTTCGGGCCCCGGTGCCGGAAGGTGCTGACCCCTTCTTCTTGGATCATCATCCTCCTCCTCCTCCTCTTCGTTTTCTTTTATCATCATCATAATCATCATCATCTTCTTCTTCGCAGATCATCATCATCCTCCTCTTTATCATCATCTTCTTCTTCGCGGATCATCCTCCTCCTCTTTGTTAGTCGGTTTAGTCGTTGTGTCCATGCCTTAGAGGGGGGGTGAACAAGGCGTTTGAAAACTTTTCGGAGTTTAATAAAAACGGTGTTGGCAAATGCAGAAGCAATATATAAAACGCAGAAATAAAAGCGTAAAGTAAAATGCACACCGAATTTATACTGGTTCGGGAACTCCCTACTCCAGTACCTCGAGACTCCTCCTCAAGGATTTTCGAATCCACTAAGTCCCGGCCTCTTGAACTCCGTCAAAGCACCGCACTAGTTTTGGCAAACAACCCTTGCCAATAGGATTCACTACGAGATTTCACAACGGCTATCTCGAACCGTTTACAACGAAGATTTAACGGCTATCTTCTACCGTTCCCCCAAGGATTCCAAAGGCTATCCTTGAACCTTTACCCAAGGATTTATACGGCCATCCTTAACCGTTACAACGTGAGAATTTAACGGCTATTCTCGACCGTAAGAAGGTGTGTTTGATGAACACAATCAAGGATTCTACACAACGGCTAGAATATTAAAATGAAGAACAAAACTTAGCCGGTGTAGAAGGAAAGTATACTCTCTCAAAAATACAATTCAAACTTATGAATATGAGAATATATAACTAGAAACACAAGCTCAAAGTGTGTGTATAAAAATCAGGAATTTAAGGCTCTTAAAATAGCCAAAATATTGAAAATAATTAATAAAAGGATGAACACACTTAGAATAAAAAGAGAGGATGTTTAGAGCTTTGTTTCTTGAACAAATATGAAGGATTATGCTTGTATTTATAGTGGAAGATGCTAATTAGCTGTTGGGAGGTGATTAGGGTTGATTTAATTCAAAAACACAAATCAAGAATAGTAACCCAACGGTCACGGTTGGCCGGTACCGTCCACACGGTAGCATGGTACTGTGCGTACCTCGGTACCGTGTAACACTGAAAACCGATTCGGCTCTGGCGGTACCTGGATAGGACGGTATTGGGGTACTGTGTAGGCGGTATACCCTACTGTTTAGGCGGTATTGGGTACCGCTAGGGGTACCGTGACTCTGTTCTGATTTTTCCAAACTTCCCTTAATCCTTCATGTTTTGAGTTTAAAACCTTTTGGATATTTGAAAATGTTTAAGAGATGGTTTAAAACATATTTTGTGAGTGTTTTTTAGCTTGTGAATATAGGTATATAAAGTCATATCCTTACATTGGTTTCTACCTATATTCTACGCTATTTTAGTGTTTCGACTTCATTCTTGAGTACCAAATCTTAATGGATTCTTGTTTTACCTGAAACACTTAAACAAACGTTAAGCTCTTATATTGTTTGTTAACATCAAAACATGAGACTTAGCAAACCAAGGCTAACACTCTTCTTTTTCTTTATCATCATCTTCTTCATCTCCTACTTCTTTCTTCTCCTTCGGCCCATATTTGTTAGTGTTTTCCTCTAAAAACATTAGAGTAGTAAAATTTTTAAAAAAAATTAATGTGTAAAATTACTAGTTACTTTTAAATAATAATAAAACAATAATAATAGATAATACGACCTGGTTCTGTGGCCACTGGATTCCAGTGGCTACGGAAGCCACTGCCCCCCTACGGACACATACGATGCTCTGTTCATAAAATTGATGATTCCTACCCCCCCCCCTTCGGTAAACTCCCCCGCCCAGTCTCGATCCTAACTCAGCCCCCACTCATGTCAATTGTACCTGCAATTTTAGTTGACTTTGAAGTCAAAGTTTAGACTTTAAATTCAATTGTACTTGCGGGATGCAATTTACATAAGTGCGTTATGAGTTAGGGTCGGGACTAGGCGGGAGGTTTGCCAGAGGTTATGGGGTATAAATCATCAATTTTATGAACGGGACACCATAGGAGGGCAGTGGCTTCGGTGGCCACTACTAGTGGGGCTAAGGGACCACTAGAACTCAGTGGTCACGAAACTAGAGGGTAAGAATCATCAATTTTATAAACAGAACACCGCAGGAGGCAGTGGCTTCTGTGACCACTAAAACCCAAGGGTCACGGAACCTAGCCATAGATAATAAGAAGAAAAGGGGGGGGGGATTGGAGGGACAGATGGTGGGGCTAAGGGAAAGACAGAAGAAAGAGAAGACGAAGAAGGAAGAGGTGGAGGAGGAGGAGGAGGAGAGCTAAATTGGAAGGAGAAGAAAAGTGAAAAAACAAAAAGAAGAAAAAAGAAGATGATGATAATGGTCTAGAAACTAAAGGATAAAAAAAGATAGCAAACGACTACATGTATGAAAGTTCATTCTAAGTAAGTTTTTGGATATTTTAAAGTATCCATAGTATATTTTGAAACTAGAGGTACCTAGCTGTTATTATCACAAAATAGAGGGTGCCTAATAGGGATGTCAACGGGTCGGATTCGGGTAAAATAGTACTATACCCGAACCAAATCCGACTTTTAAAACCGAAACACGAACCCGGCCCAAAACCGACTTTTAGACCAAAAACATGAACCGATCCGAACCCGACATTTAAACCCAAAACCCAAATTTGTAATTTAATCGATAACCAATTCAACGTACCTAAGATTTTTAAAAAGAATAAATCTAAATTCTATTGTCTCTTTTTTTGTATCTCATTTTTTGATTGAGGAATTATAAAAATAATTACAAAAGATATATTTGGTATAGTAACACTTTGTCAAGAGGATTGTGTGGCTAGAAATGGAATCAAGACAGTAAACATATCATATATCCAAGGAAGAAAGAGATGCAAGGAAGAACCATACAAGGAGAATGTAAAACACACAGAGATGCGATGTATGAACAAGAGAGCTGGGGTTGCGTCAGAGAATCGAAAAAAGAGATTATACAGTCTCTATTCTCATTGGAGCCCGGAGACGCTTGAAGTTCTTCCCTATCCCGATACGACTCTTATCAAGAATCGTATTAGCATCATTCTAATCTCTCTCAATAACCTCATGGTGATGTTGAATTGCCAACTACATATCAAAAGGCACCTGGGTTTTGAGAAGAGGACTCCCAAGTTCTCGAGTCGAGGAGAATTCTCTCAATGTTCAAAGGAAGTCGATAACCTATTGTCACTCTCGAAAGGAGGCCATACATCCTGTGAAATGGCATGACTAGAGGGGTTAGTTTGCAGCGATGATAAATGACAATGGATCGTCTCTCATTGAAAATTGACACGAAAAAAAGATCCAGGGAAAGAAACCAAATGCGAAATTAGAGGATTTTTAGAAGAACCTGCAGTTATCAATCATCCCAAATACGCTCCCAAACACACAATTAGAATACTAATGCAAGTGACGGAAACACAATCGATACATAAAAAACATGCTTATTACTCAACACTATTGTCCTCAATCTTTACTGCTCACCTATTCTGTGAAGCATCAGTGTATTGGGCAGATGATAATGTTTACCATTTACAATTTACAAATGAAAAACTTTGGTCCAAAAAGGTAACGCTTCTAGTAGTAACACAACTTCACAAACCTTTCTTTTCTTGGGACAGAAAGAGTACTAATCGAAATCTTGGCTATGCAAAGAACACTACAGTAATGTCATACATTAAGCTCATTCTTGGGCCTGAAGGCAAAATAAGCTGAAGAAAAAAAGCTACTTTTCCCCCATCCCATTTTCTGTTCACACATGAGCCCAAGGCTGTTGTTGTACATGAGCCCAAGGCTCTCTCATGTCAGTGTGAACAAAAAATGGGATGTTGCCAAGGTTGGAACAACTATCGCAATACTCACAAGTTGGATTTTTGTGACTGTATTTAAGAGCGTCACGGTTTTCAAGAATTTCAGCCACGTGTGTTTCAGCCCTACTCATTTTCCTTTGATTCTGGTGTGTCAAGATTGGAGTTTGTGGAAGTGTCATGTTCGAGTTGCAGGGGATATACCG